CCCCCCCCCCCCCCCAGCCTTGTGTGTGTGTGTGTGTGTCCCCCTCCTCTGCAAGGCAGGCGGCAGAAATCCCCGCGGGCCACTCCCCCACACCTCCCTCCAGCCGGAGCAGCTCCAGCTTTTCTGTCTCTGCTCCTTTTGTCGACACAAACCCGCTGGGAGCAGGATCAGCGTGAGTGTGATTGGCAGGAGCTCCGGCTAAGGGGACGGCGGACTGATGTAACCAAGATTAGGACGTCACTCGATTATTATTAATAATAATAATTATTATTATTATTGGCAAGTGAGCTATTTCCTCGCAAAACCCCGTCCCGGAGCTGTGGAGGCAGGAAGATGCGTGTGGTCTGGGTGGGAGGCTGGCAGGGACCCTCCCAGCTGCCTCTTCCCAGCCTCAGTTGGAAATGCACCTTCCCCCCCCCTCCTCCCCCGGCAGCCTTGTGGAAAATAAGGGAGAGGGAAACCACAGCTAACTTTTGTGGCAAACTCCATAAAGATACTTGACCAATTATTAGACCTTTCCGAAAGCATCGCTACGGCGTCACGTTCCCGTTCCCCCGCTGCAGTCAGTGCCACGCAGGGAGTTACAGCCTGGCTCAGCCTGCAGCCTCAACCAGCCCCTTCCCTCCCCAACAGAAGGTTGAGACTAAGAGGGAGTTTGCTACCAAAGCTCGCCCTGCCTGTCCAGAAAGAAATATTCTGATCTTTAATAGTCTCTTCTGTCTCAAGCAATCTATGGTAAGGGCAGAAGCAATAAATAGTGCAAGGGCAAGGGAAACTCTCTTGTAATTATTATAGATGGGAGCTGCTTCCTGGCTCTCTATATCTTGTTAAAGCTCGGGAGTGGTTTAGAGGTTCTGGATCCGAGTGTTGAGAGGTTTTAGATACAGCCAGTGCCTGGGCTCCAGTTGTGTTTCTGCCTCAAAGCCCCGGCAGAGCCAAGCTCCGGCTGCGCTCTCGCCCAGCGAGGATCAGGCATCGCCTCCAGCTGCCCTCGACGGGGGCCGGTGACAGGTGGGAACCCCGGCGTGGGAGGGGGCGAGGAGAGGCACGAGGGGCTGTGGTGCTGATTAATCCGTGAGGCAAAGCCCACACGCACCCGCTTGGGAGAGCTGCCAGGCGGGGGGCTCCGGGGAGAGATGCTCGCGTGGCCCTGCCGGGTGCAGGGTGAGGCCCTCGGCTTGGAGGGGGCTTCCCGCTGGGCACCCTGTCCCTGGGGGGCTCATCCGTGTGACGTGGAAATCCTGGAACTGGGAGGAAAGGCCAGAGCTCTGGGCTGTGGAAAATACCGTGCTGGAAGTCTCCAGCACGCAGAGAGTGATCCTGGGCAGAAACAGTTGGAGCTGCAACGGCGGCAGGAGGCAGACGTCTGATAGAACCATCAGTCTGCCTGGGCTGGGTTTAAAGCTGAGCCTTGCAGAGCAAGGGCTTAAAATTCCTTCGCTGTTCTGGTGACCCCTCTTGCACTCCCATGAGGTTTCCATTTATCTGCTGTGTTCTGGTATATTTAAAATTGAGATCTTCCCCCCTCCTTTTTTTTTAAAAAAAAAAAAAAAGAAGCTTTCAAATATTCTTGGGTTTGTATATTACAAATTGTTCAAACTGAGAAATTTTAGTGGTTTTGAAAATGTTGACAGAGGAAAATCAGGATAGAGAATCTTCTCTGCACAGCAGTTAGTGAAGCAGTTTATGAGGCTTAACTTTTCTTTTTCCCTCTCTGTTTCTTACTTCATTTATCAGACAGAAGGTGAAACAAAGTCATCAGGTGGAATTTACCTACAGTCCTTCTTTGGAAGAGAATGTTTCTATTAAAATTGATGTTATATTGTCTCAATTATTGTTTTAGGGACCACGACCTCTCTTGCCATTGTACCAAGCGTTCAGAGTCCTTTTCAGGGGATCTGAATTTGATGCAGAGGGCTGTCCTGTCCCCCTCCAGTCAATGCAAAGGGTTCATTGACTGCTGGAGGATCGCCTGCGGACTGTGAGAACTCAGGCCAAGGCTCAGTCCTTGTTCCAACTTCAAGGAGGCCCTAAGGTACCTTCAGCCCACCACTGGCTGCTCGCCTGAAGGCTGGTGTCCTTTTCTCCATACAGTCCTGGTACTGGACACGCCGTGTATCAATACAGGCGCGGATGATTTGAACTGCATAAGCACTGGTGAATACCCATGAAATGGAGGAAATGTAAGAATTTTAAACTGGTCTTTTCCAGCTGGAATCCTTTAGGCTGGAGAGCTTCTTATGTCAAACTGCTGTTCCTGTCCACAATTTTTACTGTTAGTCACCTCATTGCCAGTTATTTATTAACCTATGGGATAGCTGTTGATTTTTCCCAGGGCAGTTATATCCACTGTAACTGATGCATTATTTTTAGATGAAGTTAAGAAATAGCAACGTGCCAAATTATATTATCAGGGACTACTTCTAACGTAAACGTCCTCAGGTACTTTAAACGCAATAGGACACTGCAGCTGTAGAGAAACCCCAGCCATGCCCTCAGTAACAAGCTGTATGTAATTGGTTTTTACTCATGGGATTTTTTTTCAGCAGAGACATTTTGCCCAATATTTGATGATATGTGTAAATATTTAAAAGAAAAGAGGAAAGAGCTAATAGATAGTATTAAAATAGAACAGCAAATACCAGCAAATCTTGAGTGCGGTAGTTTTAATGGATTGTTATTAAAAATAAAAGAGCAAAGAAGGCAAAATAAAAGGGAGTTTTTAATTGACAAAATTGACAGTTCTGTTATCCTCACCGATTCCTGGCATTTCAAGATCAGATTTTTATCTAATGATTCAACAGCCTTAAATATTTCCTTCTAGTAAATCAGACACAGCTATAGCGCTTTTTTTCCCACCTCAGGCACGTAAGCCCGCATTTTTTTTTTTAAACGTGCTGGTATTTATTATAGCCAGTGTCAAAAAACTTCGCACTCTACTTATATATGAGCTTCTCTTTGGCCTTTATTAGAATGATATACAGCCATGGTTAGGCACGCACAACTTCCTTTGACAGCAGCCAGGATTTCATGTGTGGATCAAAGGTAAAATAATTCCCTTAAGGTGATCGCTTCCCATCCGAAGTACGGAGTTATGAGCTGTGCTCCAGTGCAGAGAGGAGCTTCTTCATCTCTTCCCATACCTCACATCGCCAAGTCGGCAGTCCTGCAGCCGCATCCTCCATCATGACAACTCACTGCGTCTTTGTTAAGCTTTGTTTTTTTTTCCATTGGAGACACTCATTTTTACCTAGTAGCACAACTACGGGTTCTCATGTCTTAAACAAGGCTGAACATGGATCAAGCAAAGGAAGAACATGAACTTGAATCTGTGTTTTCTAAATCTCTCCACCCAGTGCCCAAAGACCCCAGCGGCAGGACACAGGCCTTCAGATGATAATTGCTTCGTTTCTTCCAGAAGAAATAAACTTAGATAATGCAAAAATAGTGTTTGAATTCTCTTAGCTGAAACACTTAGTGCAGAATAATCGTTGTGGTTTATTTTTTACACATACGCACTTTTTTTTTTTTTTTTTTTTTTTTTTTGGTGCAGTTTCTAGTTTGCATCGCTTGGTTTTCTTTTCACTTTGTGGGTTAATCTTACATATGTCCCGGTTCATTTATTTTGTCTGGCACATGAAAATGGAGATTACCCTACAGCATGAGCTGTAAGCAACAGCATGGACTTTCAGGGCATCTGGATTTAGAGTTGCCAGAATTAGAAACATGAGCCCGACGAGATCATGCTAGGGCAATTCCCCAGTACTGGGCCATAAAGCCAATCAATTTAAAATGTAATAGAAGGCACTATTACTGCACTGAATTCTGTGTGAAAGAAGGCACTTACTGCTCATTTGGAAAGAAAAGCTCATATTCTAAATTGCTTTTTAGATCAGTCTTGATCCTACTTTTAGTGATGTCAATGGTGACACTTCCGTTCAGTCCAGTGGTGCCAGAATTTTCCATTTACTGTTAACTCCTTCTCTTCTTCCCCCTCTCTCCTCCCTTTCCTAAGCTCCCTGTCAGCAACACTCCTCGCAGTTCCTCTCGGCGGACAGTTAAGACACAGAGATAGACCTTATCGTTCAGCTCAGAGGCAGCAAGATGGATAGTCATTTTAATCTCTGCGAAAAAGGAGTTCAACAGTCAAGGAAGAGATGCTGAGAACGATGTCTTCTCTGCTCTTGCATGTCTTACCCTCCTTTCTTTTTGCTACTGATGACACAAGTCTTATAGTAGCCCCTAGTTATGAGTAAGAGGTGATCTTTCGTCCTAAATGGCCTCAGCTATGAAGTTCAAGATGAGCTGACTCACTCCAATTTGAGTTGCCTGTTACAGAAGTTGTGGACTAATGTGTGTCTGTAAACATGGTGAAAGAGAATCGGGTCTTAAACTCGTGGATCTTTTCTAACATGTAATACTGTAACACTTGGGTTTCTAGAGCATGATGCACTAACACATTAGCATGCACTTAAGATATTATTTTTATTATGCTCAAATTATTAAGTGGCGAGAGACAAAATCAGCTAAATTACCCAAGTGTGTCTTCCTCAGTCTTCAGCTCCAAGTTGACCTCTGGAGGAGTGTTGCTCTCCATCTTTTCCACCAGCCAGGGAAGGAGGCGGCTGTCCTTTTGACTTAGGCAATGGAAATAGGCATAAAAATTTGTGCGTGGCTGTCCCTTAGATGCAGTAGGTCCCCTTTTCCTTGTCTGGTATTATTTTGTACAAGAGGGAAACGCTGAGGAAAATTGCTGCTTTTCATTTTTCAAATACCAAGATAAGTCTTCTCGGTTGAGGTTTTTGCTATTTCATATAATGTCGATGTTCTTTTAAAAGGAACAGTGGGAACCACCGGTTTTGATCACTTCATCCAGATAGTCAA